TTCTTCAAGTTTAACTTAAGTTGATTAAGTCACAACCTACTACTTAGTTAAATTCATATTTAAAGATTTTTAAGATTTTAGCCAGGTGTGATGGTACACAACTATAATCCTAGCACTTGAAAGACTGAGGCAGGATGATCATGAGTTTAATGCTGACCTGGGCTACATAGTGAGTCTGAGGCCAGCCTGGACTACACAGTGAGACCCTGTCTCAAAAAGAACAAAAGAAAACAGTGTTCAAGATTTTAAGAAGAGTACCAAGACCATTCAAGGGGGGAAGAACAGTCTCTTCAATAAATAGTACTGCCACCAGGAAACAAAAGCAAAAATAGACAAGTAGGACCCTCTTTCCCCGAAAATAAGACTTAGCTGGAAAATAATCAGCCTTGAAAACTAGAGATCAAAAATGCCAGCCCCAATCAGCCTATCCTTTCCCTACCGGCCATCACTGTCCTCTTACTCAGTGGCTAGTCTGTAAAGCAGGTAGATATAGATAAAGATAAAGATATATGCGATAGAATATTAGTCAGCCATAAAGAATGAAGTTCTGTCATTAGTGGCAATATGGATGAGCCTGAAGAAATAAAGTGAAACAAGTCAGACATGGAGAGATGGCTATCACACATTCTCACTTATAGGTAGAGAGTAGAGCGGTTACAGAGCTGGAAAGGATGGGGGGTGGGAACTGGGGGATAACGAAAGGATGGTTAATGCGTACAGGGATATACAGTAGTTGGAGAGGAGGAATAACTTCTCATGTTCCGTAGCACAGTAGGATGACTATGGTTGACAACATTTAGCTGTATATTTCAAAGTATCTAGTAGAAAGGATTTTGAATGTCCTCAACACAAAGCAGTAAGAAATGTTTGAGATGATAGGTATGCTAACTACTCTAGTTTGATCATTGTATATTATACATATGTACTAAAATACCATACTGTGCCCCATAAATATGTACAATTATGATTTAAAATTTTTTAAATTATAATTTTAATTTAAAAATTAAAATGATGCTGAGATAACTGTATATACACATGCAAAACAATGAAACTGGACTTTTTTTTTTTTTTTTTTGGTACCGGGGATCGAACTCGGGACCTTGTGCTTGCGAGGCAGGCACCGGAACTACTGAGCTAAATCCTCGGGCCTGAAATTGGATTCTTACCTTGCACTATATACAACAATTAACTCAAAATGGATCAAAAACCTAAATATAAGAACAAAAGTATAAAATCCTAGAAGGTAACACACAAGTAAATCTTCATGACCTTGGATGTGGCGATGTTTACTTGGATAAGATCCCAGCATAAGCAAAATAAAAATAGATAAATTGAAATTCATTAAAATTAGGACACTATCAAGATAGAGAAAAGACAACCCATAAGGTGGGAGAAAATACAGTGGACCCTTGACTTACTAACTCAATCACTTCCTGATAGCTGGTTGTAACTCAAGTTGGATTGTCAGTACAGCTGAGATCTGGATGTTTACCTGGGTACACACTATAGATAACAAGAGGCAGATGAATCTTCCATCAACCTAATTAACCAAAGTTATTCGTATGTCAAGCTGATCGTAACTTGAGGGTCCACTGTATTTGAAAATCACCTGATAAGGGTATAGTATCCAGAATACCTGGATATAACTAGAAAAAAGAATATAATTTAAAAATGGGCAAAGGACTTGAATGGACATTACTTCAAAGAAGATTAAGAAGTAGCCAACAAGTGCATGAAAAGATACCTGATGTCAGTAGTCATTAGGGAAATTCAAATCACCACGAGATACTTCATACAGACTAGGGTTCCCATTATTCAATTATGTCCCACTCCCCAAAATACATATTGAAGTCCCAACTTCAATACTGAAGTATCTGTGAATGTGAATAGTCTTTGCAGATTCAATTCAGTTGAGATCATTAAGGTGGGCCTTGATCTAATATGACCAGTGTTGCATTAAGGGGAAATTTGGACATAGCCACAAAGGAAAAATGTGTAAAGATGGAGGCAATCATAGTTATGTTCCCACAAACCAAGAAATGCCTGGGGCTATGAGAAGCTAGAAGAGGCAAGGAAGGACCCTCCTCCAGAAGCTCCAGTAGGAGCATGGCGCTGCAAACACCTTAACTTCAGATTTCTATCCTCCAGAACTGTGAGACAGTAATGTCTATTGTTTTAAGCCACCCAGTGTGTGATACTATTTTATGTTAATACAGCTATGATTTTTTTAATAGTTCAAAAATATCAAAGTATTTATTCAATAATGAATGGAAAAAGTCATATACCAAAAGGAATACAAATTCTTAATAAAAATATTATAGTATATTAAAATTATATGGAAAGTTCTTAAAATATACAACATGTACAGTAGCCAAAGTCCTACAGAAATTCATGCAGAAAATTCTACAGTTAGTGACTTGGGCATTTTAATAACTCTGTAGTTTCTTCAAACATTTTTTTCATCCTTTCCATTTTCTGGATTGTTGTTTCCTCTGAAGTATCTTTCAAACCACAGTAATAGTTGAGGCTCTGGGAGTTGAATTTGTTGATTCAATACAGCTATGATTTTTTAAATGAAAAATAGCAAGTGTTAGCAAGTGTGATGGGTAATTTTATGTGTCAACATGGCTAGAACAGGTCGCCTGGATATTTGGTCAAAAGTTATTCTGGGTATTTTTGTGGAGATGATTTTTGGATACGATTATAATCTAAATCAGTGGACGTGGAGTAAAGCAGGTAATTCTCCATCATCGGCATGGGTCTCATCTAATCAGTTAAAGGCCTTAATAGGCCTTAATAGGCCTGTCATTTGTGGCAGCACAGATGAGCCTGACATCCCCTACAAACAAGTCTGCTACCAAACTGCCTTTTACTAAAGCTACAGCTCTTCCCTGGGTCTTCAGCTGCTGAAATAACCCAGCAGAGTTTAGATTTACCAAGCCTCCACCGTATGAACTAATTCCCTTAAAAAAAATCTTTCAACCTCTCTCTCTATATAAAAGTATAATCTTAGAAGAAAATACACATGTAAATCTTCATGACCTTACAGAAACTGGAACTCTCCTACCGTATATTGCTGGTGGAAATGGAAAGTGGAGCAGCCACTGTGGAAAAAATTTGGTGGCTCCTCACTCAGTTAAACATAGAATTGCCATGTGGTCTAGCAATCTCACTCTTAGGTACATACCACAAAGAACTGAAATCAGGTGTTCAAACCAAAACTCACGTAAAAATATTCACAGCAGCACTACTGACAGTAATCAAGAGGCAGAACCAACCCAAATGTCCATCAGCTGATAGATTAACAAAATGTGGTATTTCCATAAAATAGGGTATTATCCAACATAAAAAGGAATGAAATTCTGATACGTGCTACAATGTAGATAAACCAACCTTCGAAACATTATTCTAAGTGAAAGAAGCCAGACACAAAAGTCATATACTGTATCATTCCATTTATATTAAATATCCAGATCAGGCCATTTCATAGACAGAAAGCAGATTAAGGGTCACCAGCGCTGGGAGTAGAGGATAATGGTAGTGACTGCTTAATATGTATGGGGTTCCCTAGATGGGGAGGAAACTATTTTGGAACTAGATAGTAGTGATGGCTGCACAACATCAAGTGTACTAAATGCCACTGAATTGTATACTTTAAAATGGTTCAAATCATAAATTTATGTTTTGTGTATTTAAAAACTTTTAGAACTTATTCACATATACACAGGATAATTTATGAACTCATTTACAAGTTAATGCCAAAGAAATGAACTTTTTACATAGATAGTGAAATGGTGAACCAAGAATTAGCAGTCCTAAAATAAATCATATTGTGTGTAACTGCTGCAATAATCAAGAAAGTTGGTGGGACTCCATTCACAAAGCAACTCTGTGTTCTAGTGTCTCTTGAAATCATTTATGGGGCTAGTGCATCCAACTCTAGCACTCAGGGCCCCACCACTTCTCTAAGGTAATCCTATTGAATCAAAACAGAAATTCCCACTGTCACTCTTAAGGTGCAAGTCTCAATTTGGAAATTTAAACATGTAAATGGTCCCATAATGAAAATAGCTTCCATGTAAAGGTGAGGCCTCTATGGGGCACTGCAGGGGGAAGCACAGGAGCAGTGAGAGGAGGCTGCATTTTGTACTAAGAGTTTTGGTCCTTCCAGGGACAGCAGCGTGGAAAAGGTAGGGTAAAAGGTAGTCCTCACCTGAGGGGTTGAGGTACGTGGGCTCTGGCTTGGCCTTGGTTCAATAACCCTTTCAGGTGGGCTCCTGGGCCCTCCTTGGAGTGGTTCCAACCCCTTTTTCCTCTTAGTCATCCCAACCTCAGCCCCATCACCAAGGGTCTCTCAGGGGTCTCACCCTCCCTGGCACCTTGCTCTCTGCACCCTCTCAGTGCTCCTTGAGGGGCCCTTGGCTTCCTGCTCAGGTTCTGAGAGCAGCCCAGTGCTTTTGTCCACTCTATTACTGGATAGACTTGAGAAGCAGAGGCCGCACCCACCTCTGCCATCTCTCCCCTGCTCCCTTCCCCAAACAGCCAGCTACTGGCACCTCATCCTTAGAGCCCCCCCCCCACCGGCAGGAGACCACCTAGTCCACTGGATAGCTGCAGGGCACACTCTGAGCTGTGTGGAGGCCCTTTTCTCTAGCCTTGAGGGAAAGGGCTGGTGGTACCCACTACCCTCCACTGGGAGACTCCAAACACACTCGGCCCTGTTCAAAGAGCCCTATTCTCACCCCAAATCCTCTTTACTCTTAACTCCTCACCCTGCGTGTGGAAGGTACAGTTATAGGATTTTGACTACCTCCACTGAAAATGCTGCTTATGGCATGGGTATATGGGATCTGTCTGCCTTCCAGCAATCATTGATTTGACCTGTTACATATAAATACCTACACTCATTATTCAACATAGTAACAGCCCAGGTTGAGCCCAATTTTTCCAGACATGGTACTAAACTCTTTTCACAAATACCACACTTACTAGTAGGTATGTTTGCAACTGCTTTATTTCATAACTAAGAATTTACACAAATAACTGTCACTTAAACATTTATGGAAAACATACGGAGGTACTGAGTTTACTGCTAAGATGCTCAGGAGGACGAGTATTCTGGAAGCTGAGAAACAGAAAAGACCTGGAAAGAGCTTCAGGGGCCACCTAGTTAACCCTACTCATTTCCTTCTGAAGCAGCTGACAGTCTGAGCAGCTTCGTGACTTGCCCAAGGTCATCACAATGAGAGATCAGAAGACAGTTATCACTTGCTGCAGCTGCCTCTTATTCATAAAAAAATTAAACTGACTCACACTAACTTTAGTATTTATCAAACCCATGGTAGGAATGAATTTTTAATACAAAATAACTATTTCAATCTAAAAAACGGAACAAACTGGGCTTTCAATACTACATAAAGCTGTATGAATCCCAACCTACTGTGCAGGAGAATAATGGATTCTTAATTGAATCTGTGCCTGAGTGGAAGAATGGTTTTTAAATGGGAAACCCCACAGAGGCGGTGGTGATAAATTGGCTTAGCTAGATGAATTATTCTAGAAGAAATTTAGGAGAGCAAAACCAGGTTAGAAAATGGCTTTTTCTTAAAGATCCCAAATCAAATGCAGATTGTTTTCACCCAGTGAACTACTGTGCTCTTCCCTACCTTCCTAGTCCTGGCACCTTCTCTTGGTCTAGATCCATGGTGTCCAGTGGAGTGGGGACAACAGTATTCATTTATCTAGCAAACACTACTGGGAACTCAGGATTACAGAATTCATCCAGAATTACCAGAGACTTCATATGCAACACAACAATCACAAACTTTGGGGGCTGGCAGGGAGCCTAGAAATAATTAAGTCCAGCACATTTCCTAGGTAAGAAAACTGAGGCCCAGAGAGGGAAACACCCAGCCTAGAAAGGTCACACAGAGTTAATGGCTCTAATCACAGAAATTAAGCAGTCTGACAGATTCATGAACTCTTGGGTAGCTCCATCTTCAGCTCTGAAGACTTCAGAGTCATTCTGTAGCCTGAAGCACTAATTAAATCAAAGGAATTATGGACTTACTATTTATAGGTCGGAGTGAAATTAACTAGGCCATGAAACCTGGGGACACAGGAGGAGATCCTGTCTCCTGAGATCTACATATTTCATTCAACCTTCACATTTTAAGACAGGACATGGGTAGTGCACTTTCCAAATGCTGGGATTTCAATTTGAGTTGCAGTTTGTCTTGATGGACCACAGCTATGAAAGATTTTTTGCATTGTAAGATAACTGGTAATCTCACTTCTGGCAAACGTTGTCCTTACTCAGCAGAAAGGTTAAAATGATCCTTTCAAATCTATCAGTTGCTTCAAAAGGACTTATTTCCAACCATTTTTCTATTATTTTTAGAGTTTTAACCAATATGCTTTCACTGAATGTACAAGGAAAAAGGAGAAAGGAAACCTATGAAAATGTGGCTAAAAGAAACACCGTTTGAGTTTGCAATTATCTTGCATTTTTCTCTTTTTACTGTTCAGAGTAGCTTTCACTGTACTGCCCATTTCAAATAGCTCTCAGGAGGCCTAGTGGTGTGAACAAAGGCCACTGAAATCAAAGAACTTCCACAGAGAAGTCAGAGACCAGCTGTGTGGTATAGGGAAGAGTCATTGAATCTCTCCCCATCAGTTGCCACTTCCGTACAATGAGCATAAAGCTATGGAGGCACCTCTCCTGAGGACTGTGTGGATTGGCTAATTAAAGCTAATTAAGCCCCTGGAAAGAACCAGAAAATACTATGTAAGTTCAGAGTATTGATGTGCCACTAACAGTCACAGAAACTCCTAAGGGACAAGATTCTGTACAGAGAGCACATTCTCCACTGTGATTATTAATCACCCATTGCTTACAAAGAAAGCACCATGTTTTCTGGCACAGGGTAGGGAAAAGAAACATCACACGATGTTGTTCAACAACACCATCTTTATTCAAAAATAGATATCTATGAGGCATTTCAGAATATACTGCTGCCACCAATAGCAGCCTATACTTCTAAATAAAGTCCTAAATTAATATACAAATTTAAGCTTTAAAAATATTTTTTAAGAAAAACAAAACAAAAATGAAGAGTGAAAACTTTCTGAGGAATATGACCTAAAGAAAAGGTCCTTTGAGGCCTATGGATGCGCTAAGAAGAAACAACAAAGCCAAAAGCCACCCACCCCACCCTGCCAGATCAGCTCTCACAGACAAGGAGAAAGGATCATTTAAATTAAACAAATGAAGTAAGCTCACTTTAAAGGGAGGTTGAGGGAGGAAGAATTAAGATTTAAACAACAAAAGCATTTCATTAAAACAAAACAAAACTAACTTCCTCACAGGAAGTCCACTAGTAACAGGTGTTACGAGGGCAACACATTCATTTACATAATTGCTACAGGTTCATTTCTTGCTCTTGCTGGAATAATTATGCACCAGTTGCTGGTCAAAGGCATGGATGGACAGCAGTGTACTAAGTCCACTCTGTTGCAATAGTTTCACCTAGCTGAACAGAGCAATTATTGATTAGTCTTTTGGCTGGTTTGTGGCTGGTAAAATTTTGCCTCCTTGGTGAAAGCAGTATCCCAGTTGGGTCTGTTCAGAAACAAGGTCATGTATGGGAGATTAAAGCAGCACATCATATGGGGAGGGAGACAAGCACAAACAGCAAAGACTAAAATTTATCTTGCAATTTTAGTGAAGTCATCTACTGCCTCTGGGAGGAAAACTTTATAGACTCATTAATTTAACAGTGACAGAACAGGCAGTGTCAATAAGCAAACGGCACACAGATGCAAATCTGAAAAGCAGCTTCCACACTACTAGGTTCTACAAAGTTAAACCAAGTACCTGTTACAACTCTCCCTTGTTCTCATGTCAAAACAGGCAAGAGAGCTTCTGGAAGGGAGGCCTGTCATACTTCATAAAACATAGGTTATGTTTTAACATGTAAAATAACATGTGATTTTTGGTGATCCTGAAAAGAGCAACTCAAAACAATAGATGTTCATGCCCCTTCCACTGAATTCTTTTATAGCTTCCAGATTTCAGCCCTGGGGCTATAATTCCTATTATACTATTGGGGCAAATTGTTTTCTGCCCTTTCCAATGTCAGAAATTAGCCTGCCAAATTAGAATGATTTACAGTTAGCAGGCTTACCCTTTATTATACACAAGATAAAAATTCTAACTACATCATTTAGTCATAATGTCGGATGGCATGATAATGAAATTAAAACCCCAAATTAATATCCCCCACTTTCCTCATCCCCTGCCAGAGTTGAGCTGTTTCAATAACATCTGATGCAAATACTCCTCCTCAAATGGGAACATGATGCAGTGGTATGAACTTACTGACAGAGGGATATGCTCAGTGTCCTATCTCCAGGAGATATCCAAGCTCAGTCACCACCGTGGACTGATAGTGTGCCCTACTCCCCAAAGGGCGGGTCACAGCCACAGCCATGCAGAGCCCAGACTCAGCACACCTCTGTGGGGAAGTCTTCATCTTTTGGAGACACCAGTGCTGTCCCTAACCACCACCAGGGGCCAAAGGGTCCTGATTTTAGAAACTTGCTCTATGACAGTGGATAGGGCCCTTGAGAAATGGAGCCTGAGGAAGGCTGTGTATAGGAACCAAGCAAGTTATATCTGGTTGTGAACACGGTTACTCTTACCTCTGAACTGTGACTTTACGTCCCAGGTCAGCTTTGAATCTGTTTTCTGGATTCTTTAGTTTGTTCAAAATAACCACTTAGCCTTGACTACACATTGCTAGTAGAAGTAATGATGTGGAAGAGCCAGCAATTTGGCAAACTTTTCATGGCAAAGCTGTCCAAAGGCTGTGCCACCAACCTTTTGCGTAGGTAGTAGACTTGAAAGACAGTGTCTGCAGAGCAAGCCCCAGTGGGAGTCTAACTCAGACAAGTCCAGCTCAGAAAGGAGGTGGTTTCCACGATACATGCTGTCACAGGGACAAGATTCTCCTGAAAGCTTTCAGAAGTACCCATGATTTTCATAACTTCTTGGGTATAATAGAGAACTAAAAATGGAAAACTGACAGAGCATGAACACATGAAGTGGGAGAAAGTCTGTATTTTTGCAAGTATGAATTTAAGCTGGATTCCATTGGCCACTGTTCTGAACTGTGCTCGAGATGAAAGGCTGGAGAGAAGAATCGGATATCAGAGTCTGCGCAGTTCTTTCTGGAGGTGGAGAGGCCAGGCAGGAGAAAACCAGGGGCCAGAGAGATATCTGCAACCATAACTTGCCCTCTTCATTCTGGCACAGATGGGAATCTGGGGCATGACACCTGTCCTAATCAGTTGAAAAGAGGTCACCAGCAGAGGGCAGAGGGGCCAATCCCCCTGTGACGTTGGGCAGCAGTGAGAGGTCTGGTAAGCTCTGAATATGGGACTTCAGTTCCTTGCGGACCTGGGTTACTCGTGCGAGCTTCTGTTTATATTCCTAGGGAAACAAGGAAAAGAGAATGCAGTCAGTCCACCTCTGTGGGTGCTGATGGGCAAGTCCACCACTCTACTCTCGCCTTCTTGCTCTTCCTTCACCCCACCAGACTGCCTCTCTCCACTCAGATACATGACCATTCTAGATTAGTTCTCAAGGGACAATCTTTACCAAGGATAGCAGAACACAATCCTGCCAACAGTGTACTAAATGGTATTCAACTTGGCACTTAAGATTTGGAAGTAAAAAGCAATGACATTTAGTACATGCACTCCCTTTTAAATGGCTGTCAACAGTTTCAAAGTGTTTTGTAAAATAAAATACAGAGGCTCAGGCTTCACAATTATTTTTTTTATTTTTTTTTGGTACCGGGGATCGAACTCAGGACCTTGCGCTTGAGAGGCAGGCGCCAGAACCACTGAGCTAAATCCCTGGCCCGCTTCACAATTACTTTGAAGGCTCAATTCAGACATGGCTAGAAAATTCATTATGAGACTGTACTTTCTAAGTTAAAGTTTAGAAATTGTTACATTTGTCATTTTCACAATCAAGCACTATTCAAAGTTCAAAATACCCTACTGCATCCACCATGGCCAGGACCTCATTATACAGCTGAGTAGCTGAAGTAAGTCCCTGATGAAGCCTTTCCTTAAACACAGAGCCAGGTTTGTCTTCCACAACCCTGGCCTCACCTCTGAGAAGGTGAAGTACACATTTCACTATCCCCATGCCCATTCGGAGCTCAAGACCTTCTCAATCAGCTGCTGCCCGAAAATGTTTCCCACAGTTTTCCAACTTCCGCTGTGCAGGCCACTGACTACATGGAGCATTTGCTCAGGATTCTCCTCAAGCCTAGAAAAGATCCTTCTTCTCCCAGTCCTGGCAAAGCCCTACCTTTATCCCTCTGCCTGGGAAAGATTCTTCTTCTTCATCCAGGCTGCTACTCCCCTGCCTGTGCCACAGCTCTCCCTCACACAGGCTGTGCACTGGGCTGCTCTGTTCTCTCCAGACACAGTAGATTTCCCATTCTCCTAGAGTGGAACTCTCATGAAGGCAAGAATAGAGTAGATTTTCTTTTCTTTCCCTAGTTTCCAGAAAAAGTTACTCTTGGTAAATCTGTATAGAAAACAACTGGGCCGTGTGAGGTCCACAGCTTCCAGACTCTGGGGCTTATTTTTCCATCGGTTTCTGCAAGAATAAGGAGGTCCTGGCTGGGCCCTTGCATGAAGCCTTTCCTGCAGGAATGGAACCAAAAGCACTGGCTGAACTCAAAGCCTTGGGGCATTTGTGCTAGCTGTCTCCATCATGTTGTGTGCCCAGGGAAATATTCCCTCCCTTCCTATCTGAAAGTGACCGAATGGATTACACCATAAGACTTCTCTGCAACTTTTAAATTTCTTGATACTGAACAGCAAGTAGACTGGGGGATAAAGGAGGTTTGATGAGTGATGTAAATTACTAATAACAATTTCCCTATCAAACTGGTACTATGGAAGGCTAGGGCCAGAGCCATCTGCTTCAACTAGCACCCACCAGGCCCTGCAGTATCCAGTAAACAGTAGGCATCCAGTACATTGTCAAGTGAATTAACAATACATAACGCAAACATCAGGTACAGGCCCACACTCCTGAAACCTAGACTTTAGCCAATGGTCGCCTTTCATTCTTGAAACTGGTAGCTTAGTTCAAACCTGAGGATCTAGAATGCCTAGTGTCTTTTTTCTGTTGCTGAAACAAAATTCTCAACACTCAGAGTTAAAGTAAGAAAGGTTTATTTGGCTTACAGTTTGTAGAGGTTTCAGAGTTCACAGTTAGCTGGCTCCAAGGAAGGGTGTCATATGGCAGAGGGGCATCGCAGAGGAGAAACAGTTCATTGGAGGCAGAAGACAACATAAGCAAGGTACCTTAGCAGCAATTTTCTGCCCCTTTTATATTCTATCTAGGCTACCAGGATTAGGGCAGTGTCAAACCAATCAGTGGACTGATTTAGTAATCACTCACCCTTAATCTTAACACTGCACCATGAATCAATTACACACTCTAGATTTAGCCATGTCTGAAAAAGCCCCACCTATGACCACATGACGTTTGGGGGGGGGGGCGGCACATCTAAACACAAGCCATAATATTCTGCCCCTGGCCCCTCAAAGACTCATGTACATCCCTTTACGTAAAAGGCATTTAGTCTATCTCCAAGAGTTGCCAAAATCCTAACGGTTCCAGCATTGCTAAAAAGTCCAAGTCCAAAGTCTCCTCTGAGATTTAAGGCAAACTCTTAGCTGCAAGTATCTATGCAAATAAAAAGAAAGTTAAACACTTCCAACATTCAATGGCACAAGACAGACATTTCCATTCCAAAAGGTATAAAGAGGGAGACAGAAAGGAATGAGAACAAAGCAACCTCAAAATCCAGCAGGGCAAACATTTAGGTCCTGTAGTTCCAGGTCCAGCATCTGAGGCAGAATCTGTTACAAGACATAAACTCCAAAGGCTTGGGTGGCTCTGTCCCTATGGCACTACCAGTGGTTGTAGTTTCCATGGCTTCTTTTGGGCCAGCTTTGCTCCCTTTTTGCAGTTTTCCTCAGCCAATCCACATTCCTGGCTCCTTCAAACTTTTGGGGTCTCCACTGCACCTTCAGTTTCACACACTGCCGTCTCATGGGCATACTGCCTGGCCTCCCAGGCCTTCTGAAATCTGGGTGGACGCCTTCCTGACCCTACAACTCTTGCATTCTGCATGCACCTAAAACCAGCACCACATGGATGATGCCAAGGTCTGCTGCCAGCTGGAGCAGTAGCCAGGCTTCCTTTCTCTTGGCTATAGGGGTTGTGTGCCTATGAACCAAATCCAGAGGAACAACTTTCCTAGGTTGCCACCATTCTGAAACATGGTGTACTAGGGCTCTCTTCTCAAAGCAAGTCTTTGACCTTTGCAATTCTGAGGCTGCAAAAGGCTGGAGTCCTTGGTTCTTGTGATGTCCTCAGGTCATCTTTTCTGTTGTCTTCTTTTGAAATACTTGGCTTTTTCTTGCTAGTCTTTTCAGCGACCAATTTCTCCCCTGTTTCATCCTTATAGGCCTCAACTTTACTGAAGCTTCCTTTCTGGCCAAACTCATAAAGCTTTGAGTCATTCTGCTGGGCTCTTTGGTCTTGATTCTCAACATAAATCTGGCTAAAAGCCCCCAAGAATAGTCACGCCACTGCCTCATATTAAGACTTCCTTGAAATTTCTTCTGCAAGATTGATTAGTCCATCACCCTTAATCTTAGTCTCAAAATCCAAACTCTCTCCCAAGGTATAACACACATTATCTGGCGTCCAACAGTCAATGCAGTCCTTCTTCCCAGCAGAAACCTCCCAAGTCTGGTCTTTACCAGCAGGATTTCTATCAGCCTTCTGGTCTTCTGAGCTCTGACCAGAATCTTCCATCAAGTACAGCCTAAGGTGATCCAGCTCTACTTTTGCAGCTAGAATCTCAGAACCTCCAGACTCTTCCCACAGGCCAGTCCCAAAGGCTCCTGAACCACATGGTTAGGTATAGTTACAGCAATGATCCCACTTCTCTGTTACCAAATACATATTAGTTATTTTTCTCGTTGCTGAGACAAAATACCCAACACCCACAAGTTAAGAGAGGAAAGGTTTATTTAGTTCACAGTTGTAGAGGTTTTAGTCCATAACTGGCTGGCTCCAAGGCAGGGTGGCATGGCAGGCATAGCAGAGAAGAAAGGGTTCACTGCAGGCAGAAGGTAGCAAAGCAAGTAAGGGACCGTAGCAGCATTTTTCTGCCCCTTTTATATTCTATCTAGGCTACCAGGATTAGGGCAGTGCCAAACCAATCAGTGGACTGATTTAGTAATCATTCATCCTTAATCCTAGCATTGCATCAGGAATCAATCACATTCCAGATTCAGCCACCTCTGAAAAAGCCCCATCTATGACTTCATGAGGCTTTGGAGGGACATCTAAACACAAGCCATAACACCTAGGTCCCATCTCTTCCCGCATAAACATTCAAGTGAAGTTAACATAAAGCATGAAAGCCAATGATCTCTTTCTGAATACTGATTCATTTAATAAACTTCTCTTGAACACTAGGTACAAAAAGGGTAAAGGAGCTACCCCGTGCCCTGTCCCAAATTCTCTGCCCAAAGCTGACAAATCAAAGTCATCTCAATTCTGAGCCATCCACTCATAACAATTATTCAGACTTGAAGGAAGGAGTTCATCAAGAATTATTTGAAAATCACCTAGTCACTAAGCTGAGTTGGGATGAGAATCCAAGACATCACACACACAAAAAAACTTCATTTAAGTAAAAAAGAAATATATTCCACAAGAAAGCCCTTTTCAGGGCAGTCTGAAAATAGATGGATCCTGCCTACACCTCCCATGAAAGATACTCTTTTTCACAGGATGTCTTTGTAACAGGCACATGGGTCTAGGACGAAGGCATCAGTACAGAAAGGATGAGAGTAAGCCCATCATTGAAAACCATGAAAAACCAAGATAGTAAAAATAACAAAAAAATCGCTTCTCGGCCTTTTGGCTAAGATCAAGTGTAAAAATAACAAAAAAGTCCCACAGGTCAAGAAGTTTAAATACATCAGCAAGGGTGACCAGGTATATACCCCCAAATAACCAAATGTAGGTAGCAACTGCCTTTAAAACATACTTGCCTAATGGGAACAGTATAATGACCTAGCTTAACAACCTGAGAAGAGATGAGCAGGTTAAGCAGTGACTACAGTAATTTCACAGTTCCCAAGCGGACTCAGTAGTGACTACTCTGTGATCTCCCACCTCTTCCCTTTTTAAAAAATAGATTCAGGCTTTCCAGAGAAAGTCAGCTACATATGTTGCCAACAAAAAAGTGAACCAACAAAAAAATTAAGAGTGAATGCAAATAAAACTATCACCCAGGACAACTTCAGCCTTTGTTTCTGCTAATTCTTCTGATTTTTATCTTTTCTCTTCCCTTCCCTCCTTCCTTGCTGCTGGAA